CACTACATAGTTAAGAATTGTTTCATGCTTATGTGACTTGCACTCTATTCCTGTTTTGACTTTCTTGAGGGTACGTTTTCTATAGGGTATAAGATAATGACAAAACCAAACTGGCCATTTTAGTGTGACATCAACAATAATCAAGAGTTTCGGAGAACAATGCGTCCGCCATGTTGAATGAGTGAGACCCGAATCACTATGTTGTGCCTTAGAACACATTTCGTAGTTGCTAAGTCAACAAATTTATGATTATATCGTATTATATTAACTTTCCTTCATTTCTATATCCTGTGATCTCATGGTGATATGCGGTCCTCATATCCTGTAGTCATATATGCTGACTACACTGGTTTTTTATTATTTTTTTATTCCAGGAAGTATTTTTTGCTTTACGCCTTTTGATAGTATGACTATTAACTTTATTAAGGTTCAGACTATTAACTTTATTAAGGTTCAATATAGTCCAATTCTTCTCAATTCTTCGACTACAACACTCATTGTTGTCACTTCATCGTTTTAATATCAACCAGAACCCCGAGTTCACGCAGCTATGCGTCTAGTTAATTTTTCAACTATGACTAGTGAGCAGCACTCAGCACAAGGAGAACTCTTAGAATCAGTAGAATAGCTGTAAACGTTTTTAATTTCGTACGTGTTTCGTCTATTAACGTAGACCTCTTCAGGGAATAATTTAGTGTACAACTATCACCAGGTTGAGGATGAGTTTATATACTTAGCAGCAACAGTAGWCAAAGAAGGAGGTGGAGATAAGGACATAACCGTATTCAGAAAGCTCGTGGTGTACGGTAGAAATTACCRCACAGTTACCGGACCTGGCCTGCGCAATTTTTGTGAACCAGTGGAACTACAATTTGGTTATAGTACGATTACGGTTACAGTACGACGTATACAGCACCATCCGTTTCCCACTCATACGAAATACGCTCTAAGTAAATTAAACACACGCCTTTAGTTGCATCAGTCGAGGGTGGTCGCTTACGGGAGTGGAAAAGCAATGAAAGATTTTACAATTTTAATCCCAAAGGTAGTCGTGGTCGCCTACAAGAGTGGTCGCCTACTATATTTGAAAAAAATATTGATTTCGTGTACTCTCAGGACCCCCCTAAACTATGATTTTAAACATTGAAGACCCCCCTATTTTCCAACGAAATAATTTCAGGGCCTCCAATTTCTCCTCCAACCCCCTCCCCCCCCCCACCTCCTCCGAATTAAATTATGACCCGTCCATAGGATAGAGCCTAACTTAAAGTTATGTAGTATCCCTTTATGCTTTGCGCGCGTGGTTTGTTGGCAAAATGTTTAGCAAAATGCGCAATCTCTCGTTTGAATTAAGTTGTAATAATGCACAAATAAAATTGTCTGGTCCGTTTATCGACCATACAAGTCACTTTTATTGTAGGAGTCGTCGCCGATCTTTGTTTTCTGCTCTGAACAAGAAGAACGAAGGCTCGGGGCAGGAGATTGGGTCGTCTCACCCCACTACCACTCGTTATACTCACGGGGCGTGTGCAAACAAGGTTGACCCTCGTGATCTCATTCAGTTGTAAATGAATAACTGTGATGCACTCAGTGTTGCGTAGAAGAAATGTTTATCGTTTCCGCTGGTTGTGAAAGTATCTTGCTAAAATGATAGACATAGCGAAGAATTCTGTAGATTGGAAAAATATTTCGACTGCTTCTTTGGCATGGTCATCGAAGGTGAGGCAAACATATTGAATTTAAGCTTAAGCTTAATTTAATATTTTGTGAGCTGATTAAGTTAATGACATTTCGAAGAGAACTTTGAATTGTTAAACATATTTATTATTTGGATGTCAAAAGTCGATATAAACTCTTGAAGGTGTAAGTATTATTTTAGGTTTATTGTTGGTCACAAGTAAAACTCGTGAGAGCTCTTATTAAGCGGCTCTTTCTCGAAACCAGGATTGCATCTTTCACGATTTTTAATAGTGAGGATATGCAAAAGTGGTGAGAGCAAAGATAATCAAGTAATAAGTGTATATTTATCGTTATTTATCACTGAACTAAATATATATCGAGGCAATATGCAAAATAMAATTGCTAAGCAATTTGTATCCACAGGGAGCCCAAGTTGGGCTCATAATTTCCGCGAATAGTTCGAGAAAAGTAATGGCGTTTGTGTCTCTAGGTCTACTGCAGGAATAATAGCACTCTGCAATTGTCAATGTTTATACAAATAGAATGTTCTTAACAAAACGTTATACAATTGTTTTGTCTGTGCAGGTTTATAATTTAATGTCATTCCTGACAACAGAAAAACTAGAATTAACTTTGGTGCCATATTTTTCGTTTTAAATAAACAGATAAAGATTTTAGGAGGACTCTATATTGCAACATCAATTTTAAGGTATCACGTCAAATTTGTCTTTAAAAATAAGTTATTAAATTTGCATTTGTAAATATTATTGCAAAATTGCACTGTTTTATACATTTATTCACTTTTTTCTCTTTGTCTTTCTAGTATAATTGGATCAGCATCAATAGTTATTGCAGTAATCGTAAAAAAGAAAGTGCTCAATGCTGAGGTAACTGATGAATAATGTTATGTTTGGGTACCCTGTGTATCTGACCAAATGGTCTTCTGKGTAGTTGCAAATAAACGTTTCTGTTGTGTTTCACATCTGATGTGTGCAGRATATAGACTGGTGCATGTTTGTGATTCTGTTGAAATATGTACAATTGAAACACATATGATGAATAGTTTAATCTGTTGAATTTAAAAACATGGGATGAGGGAGTGATGGCCAACCATCTCCCTATTTCTAGAGCTAAAGTAATATATCAACTAAATTAATAAATAAGTAAGAGAAGGAAATAGATCTGAATGGTCAAGTCCCATTGTATAAATTAGCATCTAAAGCAATTGTCTCTAAAACAAACTGTCTCTTTTAAATCTCTTAAAAAGTAGTAGCCCTTCTTTTTAGAGATAGCAGACTCCAGCTTGCATAAAATCCTGGACAATTGTTGCCACAGATATATTTGTTTTTTAAATATTAATGTATGTATTTAGTCAACTAAATATCATTCTTTTTGTAGGTGCGACCAATCTTTCATCTTTCACTGGCTGATTTTGTGGCTTCTTTGAGTTTGTGTATTGGTGGAGCTACCTACTTACAATTTGGATTCAATTCCACCACAAGACAGCTTTGCTCATATGTTACAGCAATTTCAAGTGTATGTGGCATGGCAATTGCATGATAGTTGAGTTTTAGGTCACTGTTAACCTCAATGTGCATATATATAAAACATTCAGAAATTAAGATGAATAAGAGATTCTGCACTATTTTCATTGTCTTTGCTAACAGATCTCTTGCATTTGCATCAGGCTGCTTGTTTACTGAAATGATAATGAATGCACTCAGTACTATAATATTATTGATTGAAAAAAAACGTAGTTTATTTGGCTTCAAAAAGTTTCATCATCAAAGCTAAGAAAAAAGGATTGATTGAAGACAACAATAAAAAGCAACTTTACTTTTCTATGAGTTTTACTAAAATCTAGCATCCCTAGAGAAATATAATCTGAATTTCTGTTTTCACTTGGAAAGCTGTGATGATATCAGGTTTTTGCAAACTATTAACTGCTCTTTCAATTAGGTAAATATAATCTGAATTTCTGTTTTCACTTGGAAAGCTGTGATGATATCATGTTTTTGCAAACTAGCAATGCTCTTTTAACTAGATGATATAATACTTAAGGTCATAATGATATAAATTTTCTTTTGGCAGTGTTTTTACATGAATACTTTTGTTTTCACTGCACTGTATGGGTATGAGGTATATTCAAAGCTGACAGCCAAGTTAAACAGGAGACCGTTCCCGAGAATTATTGAAGAGGTATAATGATGAATATATGACTTGTATGATTTTATTATATGTTATGATAAATTTTTTTTAATTTTTTTAAATTTTTTTAATTTAACTGACAGTAGTATGAATAGTCCATTTTACAGTTCACATGTACAGTGCCATTTCATCAAAGTGAGACAGAAGTTGAGCTTGCATTGATAGATACCTGGGAAAAATATTGTCTTGAGTGTGAACAAAAAGTATCTATCACTGCAGGCTCAACTCCTGTCTCACTCTTATGCAAAGACTTGGTTTTGCCTTTTAAGATGTCACTTGGAACTGCAAAATGGAGTATTGACTTAAAAGAAGACAACACTGTAACATAGTTGGCAGCTACAAGTCAACATCTAAAAACAGTGGACATTCAGCTGTTTCATCCTAAAGACCTCTTGCAAAATGACTTCAAATGAAGTAGATCGATTCTGGAGGACAAAACAATTTGCCCTCTTGGGAACTAGAATCCATTGTTTAGTCCTGCAGTTGGAGTTGGGTCTATTTGGGTGTAACCTTATTTTATATGTATTTTCAGACATTTTCAAGAATTTATTGTGTGTATGTTTTTGCTTGGTAGGTAAAAAGAGTCTCATAATCCATAATTTAAATTTAACCATAAATATATGCAATGACTACGATAGCTTTGCATTTACAACTAATTGCAGGAATATTGTCATATATAAATGAACTTTTAAAAGACAGATGAACAATTTGACTATAAGTCTCTTTGGATTTTCATCTAGGGTTGCTCCTTTGACAGTGACGTTGTGTTTATTTGCTATCGACAGTGGAGAGAATGGTAAAGGATCTCTAAATGATGATATATGTGGCACGTAAGTATTTACTAAATACCATTTTTCTATCATTTTGAMTTTTTTAAATGTTAATGCAGTGTGCAAACAGTGCCTCCCAAAACCCTGACCCTATCCCAGATCAAAAATGTTAATTTGGCGTACMCTATCCCAGACTAAACCTAAGAATTGTACATTCTATTTTGCTAACATATAATCAGAATTGACATTGTGCTGTGTCAACCTAAAGCATTTGCCCATCAGGGAAACACACCTATATTGAAACACAAAATAATGGTGCATTGTGGTCTAGCTTCAGTACAAACAATACCATATTTGGCAGCATAAACAATGTTTGTTCCAAATCTAGAACACAATGCAATGCTCTATGCTATTCAAGAAAAGAACTAAGGTACACTACATGTACTTTGTATAGTCACTAGGCAAAAAACTAGTTTAAATTGGTTTCATCAACTTGTTTACCCGCRAGGGAAGGTGACACAGGAAACCCATCCTTATAATCCATTTTTATTTTTCCTTTAGGTGTCTACCAGTGTTTCACTACAGAGTTTCAAATTGTAGTGTGAGTATTTATTTTGTATTACAATTATTGCAATAATGCTGTAATGATGTGTTGTACATGTAATATGTTGTAATAYGTGGCCTTTGGGATCCCTGTGTAACGCAAGGGAATATGGGGCCGAATTTATGTGTTTGAATCAGCATGCAGAAGGACTGCACAGGAAAATGAATTCCAGTTGAACAAAAGAAAGATTGGAAATTTAATCCCGATATTGAGCACTTTCAATTTTACAATCAAGGGTACCATAGTTAAGAGTGACTATTGAGAGCCTGTGTGGCGGCTTTACGGGAGTTGGGGAGGAGAAAAAAGACGTTTTTCACCTCCTCCCTACCGTAGAGCCGCTACGCAGGCTAGACTATTGAATACCTCACACTAAAAACATACCCTAATACGTGGTTGTGGAAGAAACGCAGCAAGAATCCAGCTGCCGGTCTCCCTGTGTCTTATTTAAATGAGGACAAATGGTGGCCACTGAGCAGCCATGGCCAGTATAGAAATTAGGCACGGCATTCAGTAGTTATACCGACTTGGAATCAGTTGATTGTGATTATGAAACAAGGCGTTTACATGTAATTCTAATATTTATTTTTTTAATGCAGGCATCAACACCCGATTCTRATAAAGAGCCAAATTGGAATCTTATTTTTCAATTTCTATTTCTTGGTGTTTTACTTATCTCATTTGCAATGATTGTGGTAAGTGTTGAAGCCTGTAAGTTAGTAAGGAAAACGGTGGGAAACGGGGAGGAAAGTTTACTTTAAATAAAAAGCAAATGGCCATATAAGTGGGAAAGTGATTCTGCCATTCATGGCTTCACGTCCTGTAGTACAATACGTTTTGTACGGACGGAACCAGGAATATTTAAATTGGAATGGGGGACTGAGGGGACATATGTAATATATAGATTCTGCGTCCGTTGAGAGATGACACGACACCGTTTGTGGGCTTTATTACGTACGTTATTTCATAAATTCTATGAAAATGCGATWCAAGTAAAACACTTTTAATTAATTTTATTATGATGGTAGGATTTCTTTAGTTTGAGACTCCAATTTAAGGTTCTATAATTGATAAA